GTTTCTTAATCATGCAATTCCTGACCAGCCAAGAACAAAAATTATGCTAACCATTTTTGCTGTAAAAAACTTTCTTAGGTTCTTGGTTACTCTGCAAGCAAACCAAGCAAAATTTTAAAGTAAACTCGAGAAAACCCCTCCAGTTGATCATTGCTCTTGTCAGGTCCCCTATTCACACTCACCCCTTCATTATCCTCTTTATGATTTCGACTTAGGAATTTTGAGGCAGATCAACAGTGAGACACGTCAATTATTATTTTGACATAAAAACAAATGACGTCTCCCAAACGTCTTCGTATGTCAAGGGGTTAATACTCGTATCTTTAACAATTTTTTTTTCAAATTTTTTAATAAAATTTCAATTATTTACTAAATATTTCTCCGAAATGTTTACTCATTATCACTTTTTTTTTAATTACAGTAAAAAATTGTACGGCAACAAAGCTGTTTTTTTTAATAAAAATTTCTATATTTCCATGACAATTTAAATTAGATGTATAAAATTTTTATGCAGTTATCGCATATAATTATCAAAGTGTTATCAATACAAGTAACGAACTTATTGCTATATTTTTCGGTACTGGGAGTTCAAAAACACACTTTTTCGCCGCATTTATCGCCAGCCCTCAAAACTCTGAAAAAAAATTTAAATTGCATTGATAAGTATCAGAACTCACTTGACGTAACGAACTCTAAAGTTCTAAAATCTTGCAATGGATCCCATCTCATGTCGATGTTGAGGGTAATGAGATTGCAGACTCCTTGGCTAAGAGCGGAACTGATCTGCCCCTGCATTCTTCGGCATCTCTGACTTTCTCGGAGCTCCACTCCCGTTTTAACAGGCTTCGTGATCCTGTGGCCCCTCCTGTTCATCATTGGTATCAGTGCAACCGCCCAGGTGGCAGCCTGACCCTTCAGTGCAGTAGGCGGGATCAGACGGTTATATCAAGATTTCGAAGTGGTCACCTAAGAACTATGTTGTTCAGTAATGGTTCAAGAGTTTTCCCTGTTTGCACTAAGTGTAACGACCAACAAGCTACTCCTGAACATATACTTCAATGCCTAAATATCTCTAAAGTGGACCTCTTTTCAGATCCACTTTTTGTTACAGACTTACTCAGAGTCTCTGGAGTCATGGACTTGGTTTAGCTCCGCTAACCGTGTGGGCCAGCAACAACAACAAAGTTCTAAAAAATACCTTTTGTATTTTTTGAGAAATCTGAAAAAATATAAAAATCAAAATCTATAATTATTGAAGGGTAATGGGTAGTATATATATATGGTTAGAGACCATGAATACAAAACTATGCTGCTTTTTTAACCATTTACAACTAGCATGGTTTCAAAACCATAAAAAAAAGATTTAATTGGACATTAGAGATAGGCTTTTCGTTAGGCAATGGGCATTCGAGTTAGGTGGTGGTTGAGTTATATTGTATCAACTGAACTGTGAAGTGTGGTTTTGTAAGTTTATCTGGTTGTTTCACGTATCGCAAGAGATGGGAAATACTAGTGTTTTTGTGTTAAGCATCTTTATAGTGCCGCTATCTATGCGTGAGTGAAAGTTTCGTATTCTAGTTGTCCAGGGTCACAAATTGGAAGTGCAGGACGCTGGAAACTCTTCATGTGTTGAAGGGAATGGAGGAAATATTGTGGTGTCAACACTGGGAATTAAACCCCTTTTCTGTCGGTCATGAAATTGACACATTTGCCCTCTCGGCTATAATTAAGTACCCAGCTGCTAGGAACTAAATGGCTCCACTAGGTAGGTGTAGTTGGTACAATAAAATTCTGGTTGTTTAACCGTATTAGGTGAAAACAGTTAATAAACGGTTTTTCTCACAGTTAACAGTTTGAATACCAACTTATTTATAGTTATTTGACTGTTTTATTTAAATATGGTTAAATAACAATAACAGAAATTGTTATTGAACCATTTTTTTTCTAGAAATTTTAAATAGTATAAGCCGTCATATGTATAAATTGAATAAATAAATATCTATAGGCTATTTTTTGAGCTGGCCTAACGTTTTTCTCATGATCTACACAACGAAATAAGCTGTTCTTTATTTTAAATAATGTAAAAATATGTTCTTTAGAAAGAAGCATAGGATTTTTTTGATATTTTTATATTTCGATTTCATATTAGAATTTTAATGAATATTTTTTTAATGAAAAACTTAAATTTTTTAAGTTACCGCCATTTTGGTAATTTTGCGAATATCAAAAAACAGCTATGCTACTTTTCAGATAACGTCTTTATGTTTCAGAAAATCTAAACAAAATCGTTTTCCTATGTTTCAGGACTTCTAAATCCATGAGGCCAGTGAGGTGCTACTTTTTGATGACCAGCCACACACGGAGTTGCCACCAACTTATTTTTTATTATTTCGTAAAAGAAAATATTTTAAAATAAACTTAAATTGTAGCTAAATAACTTAAAAAAAGCAAGGAGTCTCTGCATTGTCTCTATTACTTAAAAAAAATTCAAGAAAAACGTTAATATTTTACCATTTCAGGGTGGGGTCCCCCCTTAGTTTGTGTTATATATTCTTTTGTTTGACAAGGGCCTATAAGTATTCTTTGTATTGAGCACACAACCCTGTAAGTGTAACAATATATAAATAAAGAAAGAAAAGGAAATACTAAGTTCCTGTCTTTTAAACATTTCAGTGCTTATATTTAGTGTTTACTCAATTAGCATGCTTAAAATACACATGAGTATAAGAGATAGATACAAAAACTGAAGTTTATATCATTACATGATAACACAATCTTGAAAAACGTTAAACCATACAAACCTTAGTTATATAGTGAACAATTTGAAGTTAAGTAAATATTGCACTTTCAACTATTCAAATAACACAAGACATTTTTGTTTGTTGAAACAATCTTTTTAAACTAACGAGTTTTTCATTGATCTATTGATTAATAGTCATGCATCTGCCTTAAAAATAAGTATTGCATGTGTTTGATTTTTGTAACACGTGATTGCGTCTAACATTTGTCAATATGGAGATTAAATTTGTATATATTTATTCTGAACGCGAATAAAATCAGCTCCAAATGAAAATGAATAAATCTCTTGTAAGAATTAATAAATTTTATAAAAGTAGAAAGGATAATTTAATTCCTTGGGAATCTGTGCTTTCTATATTGCAACTTATAGGCTTCTATGATGGAACGTTATTTTCTAATTCCTCGTTCAAGCGTTGGAAGATTTGGAAAATAATACAAATTTCAGTTTTTATCTTTCAATCCAGCATGGCAATTATCCTTTTAATAGGCTTTATCAAATATAGCAATCCTGCAATGGTGACTTTATTTGTAGTAGTCAACGAAATAGCAATGATATTGAGCATTGTTTCAGGAATTATGTATCAAATCATTATTCTATATAATTCCCGTGACTTGACAAAGTTGGCATTAAATTTAAAGAAAGTATCAATTTCCATAAGCGCTAACATTGATACTAGCACAAACAGCTTATTGTTGATGGCAATCTTCATTGCCATATCCGCTCCTATTTTAACGACAATGGAAAACATTTATACAACGAAGGACTATAGTGCATCTGGTTACTTTATGGACCCTCAACTTTCTTTTAAAACTTTCCCTAAATTTTATTACATATTTTCTGTAGCTGTCAAAAGCAATCCTAATCCAAGCCTTTATTTATTTATTTTCACGATACAGGTCATCAACGAATTTTTTCAAATTTTTTGCCTTTTAATGGTTGACATTTTTATTTACAAAATTATTCAATCTTATATTATTTTATATAGGAAGTCTCAAGACAATTTAAGAATGATTTTGAAAAATTCAAAAATTGTTGATTCTGAATCTTTAAAAATTTGGTCCCGCAACCATAATAAGATAAAGACTTTAACTTTAGAAGGTGGTCGTTTGTTGGCTCCTCTAATTCTTGCTTTCTCATTAAGTGTGCCTCTATTGATTGGGATTGATTTCTATTTTATACAGCAAACTAAACATAATTTACCTTTCATAAAGAGTTGGCAAGCCAAAATTGTTACCATACTAATTGCGCTATTACATACAGGAAGATTGTTTGTGTTGACGTTGCAAGGGCAGAAGTTTATTGACACAGTGAGTATTTTTACAATATTTTTCCTAAATTTCGTCGATAAATAGTCGATTCGCAAAGCAGATATTGGATTTAAAACATTTCATTGGAAACCGACTAGAATAAAAGAGGAACTCTTAGTCAAAGGATAGACTCCTTTTTTTGGGGAATATAGAAATTAAAATTTGCCTATATTCTTAAATCAGGAAAGAAAATATTATACTACGAGGTCTTCAATTTCTTTCTTTAATACTTACATCATTTAAAAGATTTGATTTTATTTTATAACAGTCGTTGAACAGTCGACCCAATTTTTTGCGTTTACGACTACTAATGTTCAACTACGTAGCCTTGTAATTTTGAACCCAATCCAGAAGACAAGGGGACTCCTGGATTAAGTATTGGGGGAAGTTTTGCGTTCGTGTAGGACTTTTTGATGGAACTAATCCGGATATGTGTTACATGGAGAGAAAAACCACGAAATTCTCTCATGGTTAGTCTGATGACAGGGGGACTCTAACCCATATTCATCCACCATTGAGGATATTTTACATCAACACTGTGGTCGGTGCAATCCGGATGCGGAATTTGTATCGACCGGCCATTGCTGCGATTCGAACCCGGTTCACCTCATTGAAAGGCGAACGCTCTATCCCCTGAGCCACCACTGCTCAATTTGAAAGATTGATCAATTGCCTATTTTTTCTTCAATAACCATTGGCATATTTGATGAAAACGTGACGATATTTGTTTGTCCATGTCATTCGAGCCTTCTACCATGTGCTCGAGAAAGCATTAAGAATATAAAAGCACCATTTTCCCTATTGAATTTCTATAGCACATTTTATTTTTTTCATCTGAATTCATTGCAATTTTTTTCTTCAAACACATATTATTTAAAATATTTTTACTTAAACAAATATTAAAAATCATTTCACTTTATTTTTAGTCCAATGGTTTGACAACTGTTTTCTCTGAAAGCAAAAACTGCAAGCTTACAAATGATGCCGAATTTGAGGTAAATAGATTAGAATTGAAATGATTGGTTTATTTTTAGAGTAGCGTAAGGTATTAGTTGAATCAAACGATTTTTTTGGAAAAAAACATCTTATTGAAAATAAAAGTACAATTTATTCTTTATAAATATTTTGTTTTTGTTCTTCTTTCAATTTCAAAAATAATTTTACTCATTTTGGCATAATGCTAGCTACTGCACGAAGAAAAAAAAATTCTGATACATTATCTTACTGTATGTTAAATACATTTCTAGTTTTTTTAAAAAAAAACATAATTATGGTAATAAAACCAAAATATACGGTATTTACTCCATTCATATGATAACGATTTTCGTTCATATGGCAACGGTTTTCCGGAAATTTTGGTTTTCAAAATTATGGTACTTATTACTATACATGTCGTAAAAATACAAAACACAAAAGTAAATATAGCCGAATAACTTGTTTTTATACCATGCTTTGAGGTATCAATGACAATGTCGCAAAATTCTACCACATTTACCAAATCTTAACACTATTTTATTGCTAATTTTGCAAAAATCATAACCAAAAAGCGCTTCGGTATAAAAAGTGTTTTTTTTTTTGTGTGTGTGTTCTTCATAGAGACAGAAACACTGTCCATTTCTTTTTAAATAACCGTCGTTGAACAGTGGACCCAATTTTGAGTTTACGTTTACTAATGTTCAACTTCGTAGCTTTCTAATTTTGAACCCAATGAAGAAGACAAGGGAACTCCTGGATCAACTATTATGAGAAATTTGCCTTCGTGGAGAACTTTTTGATGGAACTAACCGGCATTTGCGTTACATAGAGAGGAAAACCACGAAAACCTTCCACGGTTAACCAGACGGCAAGGGAACTCTAACCCATGATCCGTTTACCACTGAGGAGATTTTACGTTAGCACTGTGGTTGGTGCGAGCCGGATGCAGAATTCGAATCAACCAGCTATCGCTGGGATCGAACCCGAGTTACCTCATTAGGACCCTTACGGTTCATTTTATCAATTTCTTGTATTTTTAACCATAGTTTTTGCCAGTGTTAGTGTAGAAAAGATTATTAATCTGTTAGTCTTTTTATTTTACACACTGTACATGAACTTATGTAATAAATAAATTTAATTTGCTAAAAATTTGCGCATTTCTTAACATTTCAGGTAGAAGAATATTTAATTGCTGAAAAATATTTCCCTGTGTATTTCAGTGCTTATGAGTTCTTTTCCCTGTCCAAGAACTTCCTGACAACTGTAAGATTTACTTCAAAATATATTTTTCTATTATTAGAAAATAAATAGAGTTATGAAATATTCTCGAACTATGATGCACTGAGAAAAAAAGTATGGTCAAGATTACCAGAATATGGGAAAATTTACCTTGTTTCTAGTTTATTAAGAACACCAACCATTTCTTTAATTTTTAACGAAACAATTTAGTAATTTTTCTGATAAAATTAACAATACAATATGGTTTTATATTATTTGGTAAAATTTAGTAAATGTAGTAAAATCTAGTGGCTGGGTGGCGCAGTTGGTTTATCGTCGGCCTTCTGAGATGCAGAAAATTCTCAGCTCTCATGTCGTGTGATTATGCGGCATGTAAAAGATCCCTGGAGTGCCTTATTGGCTATCGGCATATCCGGCAAAATTAAATTCCTAGTGCACTTCAGCATCCAAATAGAGTCTCGGTGCTGCCATCTAGTGTGGCAGAAACTATACGTCCAAATTAACATGGCTAACGGTATCTCACTCATTGTGGTGGTCCTGAAAGAGTGGATACCACTTCTGGAGAACGCACTAGGTCTGCTCATCGGGAAGACTGATTGTGCAGTTCATAAGAAATAAAAAAAGTAAAATTTGGTAAATTTATCATGATACATTAGATCATGGCATAAAAGCCATTTATTTGGTTAAATTTAATTTTCAGTTTTGTATTTTTTTTACTAAAGGTGTAATAATAAGAACTATAATTTGAAAAACTAGAATTTCTATTACACCGTTACTATATGAAAAGAAAAATTACCGAATGAATGGTTTCAGTACCATATGGTTAAATACCAGCCTTATGAACCAGAATTATGTTGTTGTTTTTACCAAAAACGTCATTACCATAAAGCACGGTAATTTTCCCATATTTTTTTTAATCCGGGTGTATTGTTAATGGTTCGAATTAATGATGTTGAATATGCTAATACACATATGGTATTCACGTTACGAAACAAGGCAAAACAACTTTTTTTCTCTGAATAAACATTTTTTATTCCACGGATTCGGATTTTAAAGGAAAAGTTGTGATCTAGAAAATATTGTCCCTATATTTCATCATATCTTTTGATCTGTTTAAACGAAGCAAAAGAAATTTGCATACATTTATGAGTACTTTAACTTTCAAATGAGACATCCCAAAAATGAGAGATACTAGTTAAATAATTTCTGAGCTTCGCTGAAATCGCAACTTTAAATTTTTATTTCTTGAGAATTGTCCCTCTGATTCCATTTAATTTAAACTCACATTTTCGATACTCGAAACTAATTTATTGAATTAGTACTTTCTTTCAAGCCGAACTCTAATTTTCAGTATATTTTATGCTTCCTATACTTTCTTTTTGATCAAATGTTACTGGCTAGTTTCATATACATAAAACATATAAATACAATAAAAATATTTTTTTATGACAGCAATGTATTAAAAACAGTTGGTTTAAATCGTTAAGGCTAAAAAAAAGTATTGTTGCTTTTTAAGTTTTTGGAACAATCTTCGCTTACCTGATAATTCTCATTCAATTAACTGCAGATCCTGGTTGCAAACAAAAGAAAGTTAACAAATATAAGAATATGTTGCACATATTTTTTTTAATTTTTTTTTACCTTCTTCCCATGCTCTTTTTTTTCGTTTTTAAAAAATATTACTCGCTAGTCCCATAGACGTAGAACATATAAATATTAAGAAATTCTTTTTTTAATAACAGCTATTTATTAAAAACAATTGTTTTAGGACAATAAGGTAAATAAATGTATTGTTGCTTTTTAGGTTTTTGGATCAATCTTTACTTACCTGATAATTCTCGTTCAATTAACTGCAGATCCATGTTGGTTGCCAAAGAAAGAAAATCAAGCAAAATAGAACATGCTTTCACACATTTTTTTCCCTTCAATTTTGATTTTAAGTGTTTTACACCTACTGTAATATGTATATGTACATTTGAAATAAATCAATTATGCAATTAAGTTTCTGGAATCATATTAAAAGTTGAAAACTCAATTGAATATTCAACTCATTTAATGTATTGGTTCTATTTAAATATTTGTATGAAAATGTTTCAAAAATAACATTTCATCATTTTTTTCCATGAGCAGTTCGAATATCAAAACACTAAGCACATTGTTCGTACTGTGCTACATGTCATTCAGAGATAGTACCATTCAATTTGGATGCTTATATATATA